AAGTAGCAGCTGAATTTTGGCATGACAACAAGAACTTTGTGCTTCACTTGATACTGCCAGTTTCTCAAAGTTGGAAGACCCTGATAAAATTCCCTGTAGTGTGATGTTTATGAGCAAAACTCAATCAAAGACAACATGGAACCAGTATTTGCATGTAAATCTACCTTGTAGAGTGCGCACAACTTTTTCCATCTTTCACCACTACAAGTACGAAATGACTCATAATATATAAGGAAAAGAATGTCCAAAACCAAATTATCTTCAATCAGTGTCTCCTCCGCCCACAAAGTAAACAGATCCACATCCTACAAAATAATCCGCGCATTGCAAAATAGAAGTTTATAGCTTCAACATGATAATGTACAGAATACATAAACCCCATGATCAAGCTCTTACATGTTATAATTATTTTGTTATTAGACATCAATCATAAAAAAATAAAAAGGTTAAAAGTAAATATCCCTGTCAAGCATACCATCTGCTCTGGAGGAGTGGATGACAGAAGGTCCTCGAGGACAGATATTAATTTACTTTCAAGCCCATCAGAAATAAGCTTCAGTGCCTCCTGCATAACAGCACTGCCTTCTTTCAAGCTAGTTCCAAGATATACTGCATCAAAAGTGAAAATATCGGCAAAAAAAAATTAAGATTCTAAAAGAACACACCACAGTATCCGCTTTCAGAATATCAACATCCACAGTCATAAAAAAATAGCATTAAATTTAAAATTAAAAGAAAACCAGAATAGAACAGCTGCACAATAAACTTACATGCATGCATGAGAATCCGCCGGGTACATTTCAGCAGGCACTGTCGCTCAATGTAATATTGAAGTAATGTCTTCATAACAACGGTGAAATGAACAGCATATGGAAAAGGGGGTGAGTTAGATAACTAGTAGATGGAAATCTATGTTAAGTAATTGACGCCAAACAACTACCATGGCCAGAACATTGTCATCAAGGTCAGCCAGAGAGGCATATATCAAGAAAGAGAAATCAACATGTGCATGTGTCTGTGATTGTTGCAGTAAATCTTGAAGGTGAAAAAGCAAAGCAGCATTTGAGCAGAAATCCAGAAACTAGCATGACAAAGTAAGGCAAAACCTCCAAGATGGTAAAGCATGGGTCATTGTCTGTGTGATTAGTAAGTAATGCTTCAAGGTGAAAAAGTCAAGAAAATAGTTTAAGCAAAATTCTGAAACTAGCAGGGGAGAAGAAAAGACAAGACATCCAGGAGAATGAACATTTGAATGTCAAGTTATATGCGTATAAAACTGGAATGAGTGAAGTCCTAATTATGAATCATCTAAAAAATCAACTGTACTCACACTATCTCAATGTGTCCTCATATATACAAGATTAAAATTATGTACCTTAAAAACTCTAACATCCTACAGTCCCCAAAACAACTAAAAAATGCCTTTCGTGAGGTACAGAAGATTGAACGTGGGAATCGAAGCAAGCTACTGACCACATGGACAAACTCTTGCACAAAAGAACTGGCAGCTGCATGACTGGATTCCAGCGACCTCTCCAGAAGAATGTATGACTGCACTTCATCTAAATTCTGGAAAACAATCGAGTAAATGCAACAACCAGATATTCATACTTCCATTTTGCACCAAAAAAATAAAATAAAATATGACAATGCATATTTTTCACACTTAATTCTCCAGGCTATTCCAGCACAAAGAAGCATCATTCTTCAAACTTACTACCTTCGTTGCACAATTATCAAGTAATTGTTAGACAAGTTCCAATACAAAAATTATTGTAGCGCATATCAAGGACGAAAAGCTGACAAGTTATCGAGCAAAACTAAAAAGACTAACCAAATACAAACTGGATTTGAAGAGCCTTCTCTTTCAATTCCGGGCTGTATGTTCAATTCATGAGACCCGATCTTCACTTTCTGTGAATTCAATGCCTCTTTCGACTTTTGATTCGGTGGCTTGAACAAAGACATAGTGTCCACGAACCACGCATGATTCTCCTTTAGCTTCTTAACCTTTGAAATTTCACAATGCCCACACAATACTCCATAACTATACACT